TTAAAGATATATCGAAAAGTTAGTGCATAATTTTGGTTTTTTATATTCACATATATTTCTTTTATTATATTACAAATTTAATAAGAAAGTTGCAGACATTAATTTCCCATTTCTATTTAAAAAAAAAAAAAAAATTAATTAGTTCAACAACAGTTAATTAATTGCGCCTAAAACGTCTGACAAAATTGAGCTTACATTCCCTTTGGAATGATTCGTCAGCCATTTGTGCCACCTGCAGCTGTACGCCAAAAATAAGCACCTGTGCATACCTATTTGAATGCCTGTGAGCCCGTCATATATTTGATACTACAGCTCGCCCCTTCGCCTTCGCCCTCGCCCGCAACTGCTGGCACTTGTTTTCATTACACAAATTGCGCTGAATCACAACCAAAATTTCATTTACCGCATACGTATAGCGAACTTATGATAATTTTTCAGAGAAGGAGAGAATGAGAGGGGACAGAGAATGATGGAGATTGGGAGAGTGAGCGAGTGAGCGTGTGTCTGGTGAGAAGAATTGTGTGTGCTTTCAGTTTTACGACTGAGCAAAGTTAATTTCTTAGCGCAACAGTGGAGCACAGTGGCAACTAACAGTTAACAGCCAGGCCAGATAACACGAGACAACAGTTAAATGTAATTGGAAAGCTCATCAAGTGCCGTTGTGGCTGCTCCTTATTGTTGGCTGCTGCTCCCACTGCTCCTGCCCCTCCTGCTGCTGTTGCCACTTCAGCTGCGCACAGAGATATGCAAAAGATTTTGTTGGTACTTTGCTTATTTTTGCGGTTTATTGAAAACGAAGCGAGCACGCTGCGTATACGTAACGTGCTGTCAATGGCTAGCAACAGTGCTTAGCTAAGCTGCTTTGCAGCCAACAACGGCAGCAGAGCCACTGAGCTACTGAGCTGCTGAGCTGACTTCCCTTCATTTACGAGCTGGCACTTTATTGTCCTTTTGTTTTTGGCTGGCAGCCACGTAATTGGCTTAGTCGGTGAGTGTATAGCAGCAGCCAGGCAGGTGAAGGACGGGGCGGAGGGCTGCAGCGTGCAGTCAGCCATTGCTATTAACAATTTCCTGTGAGAATGTGTGTGGGTGTGTGTGTGTGAGGTTTTTATTTCGTGTCATCCAATCAGCCGCGATACGAGATACTTCAGTCACATGTGCAGATTGATTCCCCGAGCTGCCATCAAAGCCGTTTTCGACTTTTTTTTTTGTTTTTTTGTATAGCTTCCGTTTTTGTTTTTTTCTAGAATTTTTTTGGTATTTTATTTTCTTTTTTGTTCTATTTTTTTTTTTTTTTTTTTTTTTTTTCTTGAGTTCGTTTTATTCAATTTATTTGCTGCTGGTCTAGCTGTTTTTCTGGCCATTTGCTTAGGCCACTCGACCAGTCGTTTCCTTCCTTCGCATTCAGCAATAAATTTACACAAAATCGTAAATTTAAAACACTTCATTTAACAGCGGCAGCAACACGAAGCGAAATGAAATGAAATGAAATCGCTTAACGATTATCGCCCACGACAAGGCGCTGTCTGTCTGTCTCACAGTATATATGTGTGTGTGTGTGTGTGTGTGTGATTTCTTAGTGTGTAACCACCAACTGCTTCAAGTGCTGTACTGGCCACTGCCATCAGAGTTTTACCATTTTCTTCACATTTCTCGCTGGGCAATTCCCAAGTGAGTGAACTTTTATTTTATTCTTTTATTTTTTTATTTATTTTATTTTTTTTTTCGTTGACTGCAACAAGAGTGCACTTCCATTTAGGTCTTTGCCCATGAATTTTCACGAATGTTGCCTGCCAAACCAAGCTCTAAGACCCAACAAGCAAGCAACCAACCTGCCTGCCTGCCTGGCTGCACTGCGGTAGCCCAGCCCCTTCTCCGCCTCCTGCTCGCCTGTCTGCCAGTCTGCCTACCTCCCTGTTCGGTTCAGTGCTCAATAATGATTTCCATTGCGAATTATTTGCATTTCCCCGAACTCATTATGTTTGCATTGTGTAAAAGTCAGCTACGACTCTCGATTCTCCCATCGACTTCAACTCGGACTGTGCCGTGTGCCGTGTGCTGGCAACAACTGCCGCACCTGCTGCACCTGCTACAGCCGCTACACCTGAGCTTGTTTGCCATTTCTCTGGACAGTTCAAAAGATGCCAAAGTACAATTTTCTTTTGTATAATATTGATTATAGATTAAATATACATTCTTTTCATTATATGTATATATAGTTGTGTATATGTAAGATAAAATATATATGTATCAATTTATTTTCAGTTCAATATTCAAACCTTTCAAACATCTCAGAATTTCAACATCTCAACATCTCTCTCCATAGACTCTTTACAAATATTTCACATTTTATAGAGTATTTCAATTTCGGCTCGTTTTCTTCCTCTTTTCTGTTTAACTCGAGTATTATTTGGTTTTATGCTGCAGCTGAAATGCTATTAACATTTCCCTTTCCTCATAAAATAAACACAATTATTTATGCATATTTACGTAAAATCGTGGGGAAATATCATATTAACAGCAAGCAGGCCAAACACCCACACTCACTCCCTCTCTCTCTCATGCTCTCCCTCTCTCTCCCTCCAGCTCAGTTGCCGTTGCATTTCCATTTTATTGCGTTTCATTTTGTGTTCGTTGCATTGCGTTTTGTTTCGTTTCGTTTATTACATGTCAAGCGTCAATGAATGTCAGTTTGACAGTTCATAAGACAAATACGACAATGGATGTGGTCTGGTGTGTGGTGCGAGTGTGCCAGGACGTACCTGTTTCCACACACACACACATACACATACATGCTGCACACACGCAGCAGGAGCAGCACGTGGGGGGAGAGCCCTGTGGTTCTGGCTCTTGTGACAGCCAGGTAACATTTGCGGACATTAACGCCAACGTGCAGTGGCATGCCTCATATATGAGAGACGTGCACAGGCCACGCCCCCCACACACACACTCCCACACACACGCACTCAAGCGCATATCCTGTGGAGCAGACGCCGCTTGCATCTTGAATAATGTGTAAAGTGTGAGGCAGCCGCAGCCGCAGCCACAGCCACAGCCGAAGATTGCCAATTCTTGAGTACGTGTAAGTGGCCTAAGGATGTTGCAGACGCTGCTGTCGCTGCTGCTGCTGCTACGGCAGCTGTTGTCCTGTTTTTGGCAGGACATGTGCGACGTCGTTTTTGCCCGTCAACTTATTTTCACAGGCTCTGGTACTTTGCGCACTTTAAACAATGCTTGAAAATTGAAAATCTGATAAATATGTGAGCAGCTGTCGCTGTCTTTAATAGACGCTGTCAAGGCTGGAGTGTGTGTGTATGTGTGTGTGTGGTGTGATGGGTGTGGCTGGCATTGACAGCTAGCTCACAGCACTGGCAGCTACACACTTTGAAAACTTTCAACGCATTGTCATAAATCATTTTGCGGCAAACAAGTTGTATGGAAGTTGGACACGCCCACACACACACGCACACACACATACACAGTCACACTCACACATAGTCATATTCTTTTGTTAGGCATTTGAAGTGGGACAGCGACTGTTTGAGTTACATGCAGAAATGTCAAAGTTGAGTTCACAAGTTGCTGCTGTTGTTGTTGTTGTTGTTGTTGTTGGTGGCCGCAGCCTGTCATGTCCTGGCTGCTCGTTGCAGGACACAAGTCAGCACAGTACTTAAAGCCATACCTGAAGTGGCATTGCTATTGCTGCTGCTGCAGCTGCTGCGCTTTTTGCCAGCTGCCCTTAGCCAAAGCGCGCTTCAGCTTCCATTATCATCAAATTATTTTTATTTTCAATCGGGCAGCTGCTTGAGTTTCTCCAGAGAATAGCATGTCTATTGCCAGCTCAAATTACGTATACGTCCAGCTTTGCTTCCACTTTATATTTTTCCTTATTTATTTTCTGCCTTAATATATTGTTGATTCTAGACCTGGTTATTGTTGTAAATAAATGTACATCTATTTATATTTACGTTGTTTTTGTCTTTATTTATTTATTATTATTATT